ATGTTGTCTGGGGGTTTGGCAAAAGGAGAGTGGGACGGTGGGCGGTGCTCGGGGTGGTGACTGAAGGCGGTGACTGTGTCGTTCTGACGTCAACTTTTTACGGAAGTCACAACAGTTCGTGAAAAATCACAGCTACTTTATGCAGGCTGTGTGCATTTTACTGTGGACTGACTGTTTTGAAACTTATATGGTAGTTAAATAGCCCCTAGACCTCAGTTATCGTGAAAAAAGCCAGGAAATTTCAGTTTTGACAATATGGGACCTTTAAAAGTCATTGAAAATGCATGGGAATCTCTGTAGTGTATAACTACATTACTGTTCAAAAGTTTGGTATTGGTAAGGTGTTTTTAATGTTTTTGAGTGAAGTATTTTATGATCACATATTTGATCAAAATACAGTAAAAACTGTAATATTGTAAAATATTATAGCAATTTTAAAGAGCTGTTTTGTAATTGAACAAATTGTAAATTGTAATATTTTTTGTGAAAACTGTTAATACACTACCAAAAAAAGAAATTAATGCATTAAATTGATCAAAAGTTATAGTAAATACATTTAGAATGTTACAAAAGATTTATATTTAAAATAAACGCTGTTCATTTGTACTTTAAATTTATCAACAAATCCTGAAAGAATGCATCATGGTTTCCACAAAAATTTCATTATTTTCAACATTGATAAGAAACATTATCAATAATTGAATACCAATAATAACTGATGATAACTGAGTAGCAAATCAGCATATTAGAATGATTTCTGAAGGATCATGTGACACTGAAGACACTTTCAGCATTTTCATGATGCTGAAAATTCAGCTTTGCATCACAGGAATAAATTACATCGTAACATATATTCAAATAGAAAGCAGCTATGTTACATTGTAATAATAGTTTACAATATTCCTGTTTTTACTGTATTTTTGATTAAATAAGTGCTGAAAATTACACATATTTAAGACTTAATAATTAAAACAGCTTAATTATTCCAGACTTTTGACTGGTAGTGTGTATATTTCTTTCTTTCAAGTCTGAAATATTTCTCCTGGTAGAAATGGTTCTCTGTGAGTGCAATCACTATTAAATTATGATTATCAAGAATAGCTGTAAAGCCCTGGAAGTTTATTGGTCCGAATGTGTGGACACACTCGAACACTTATATAACAGATGCAAACTAGATGTGGGTTTATTGTATTTGGTTGTTGTGATGGATGTAGGGTCCTCGGCCGGCGCTGTTTGTTCCTGAGGTCAGTTTTGAGCTGCTGGTGAAGAAACAGATCAAGAGACTGGAGGAGCCCAGCCTGCGCTGTGTAGAGCTCGTACACGAGGAACTTCAGAGAATCATTCAGCACTGCTCTGCCTACAGCACACAGGTGCTTCACTGACTATTAATATTTGATGCAGAACATCCACGCTTGTATTATAACGTGTAGTTAGATGTTAAAGGAATAGTTCACTCAAAAAAATAAAAGAATTCTTGAAAAGGTATTCACCCTCAGTCCATCCATGATGTAGATGATTTGCAGAAATGTAGCATTACATCACTTGTTCACCCATGGATGCTCTGCAGTGAATGGGTGCCGTCAGAATGAGAGTCTAAACAGCTGATAAAAAACATCACAATAAAACACAAGTAATCCACACCACTCCAGTCCATCAGTTAACATCTTATAAAGCCAAAAGCTGTGTTTTAGTTGGAAGCAATGGCTTGAAGTAAAAAAACTATTTGAAGAGTTCATTTGCAAAAACACATAACAAAAATGTTCAAAAATCATGTTTTTTTTTATCCTGCATTCCAATTAATACCAATCAAACCGCAGTTGGGTTGTTTTGATTAAATAATAATAACTAAAAAAATACAGCTAACTAACACAATAAAAACACGATAGCACATAAAAAAACATGATTTATAAAAATTAATAAAAACAGAGTTATCTATTTTTGCCAAAAAAAAACAAAACTCTTCATTTGTTTCTCACAAGCTTCACAAGACATTAATTGATGGACTGGAGTGGTGTGGATTACTTGTGGATTATTGTGATGTTTTTATCAGCTGTTTGGACTCATTCTGACGGCACCCATTCACTGCAGAGGATCCACTGGTGAACAAATGATGGAATGCTAAATTTCTTCAAATCTGTTCTGATGAGGAAACAAACTCATCTACATCTTGGATGGTCTGATGGTGAGTGCATTTTCAGCAAATTTATTTTCGCGGGTGAACTATTCTTTTAATGTGGTTGTGCCGTTTTGTGAAATGTGAAGAGGAGAGAAAGCTTTTTACAGGCACAACAGATTGACACACACACACACACACACACACACAGACTCAGAACAGCCTGCATTAGGATTCTGCTCCTCATTCTGCTCTTATCTTCTCTGTTCTGCTGCCTTCGCTGTGTACATTTGTTTTACATTAAAAAAAAAGTTTCAGTTTCCTTTATTATATGCATAAATTTAATGTCAGAATGGGTGCTGGAGGGAAAGCGGAGAACAGTTTTGATGCAGAAATGTGTTCTGTGGATATTATGCTTCCACACAGGAAGTGTAAAAATGCTGTAAATAATTGAAAGCTGACCTGTTGTGTGTATGTGTGTGCGTTTATGTCTGAAGGAGCTCTTGCGGTTTCCCAAACTGCATGACTCGATTGTGGAGGTGGTTACCAGCTTACTCAGGAAACGCCTGCCCATTACCAATGAGATGGTAGGAGCACATGCCTGTAGCTGCACAGTCACACCAACCACTTACACTTGCCTCGAGGCTGTGTGTTACAGTAATTTATTCATGAGTAAGGGCTGTTCTTAGACCAAAATGTATAAATAATTACATTTATTAATTATAATCTTAAACGTGTGGACAAAGTCTTCACTCTCTTTTAGA